TGTGCATAAGAATGAGTGCTGTATCAGTTTAGTGCTGTAGCTAAAATAAGCTTGCTAAATCTGGATGAACGGCATGTGCAGTAGAAAGTGTTTTTTCTGGCATGCCTGAATAGGACAAGGCAGTATTAGATCAGAGGGAGGTAAAGCTGCTCCAAAGTATGTGGGACAGTTGCTTATGTGCAGCACTACATCCAAGTATGAAAGTTTCAATTCTGATGTGCCCTCACTTACCAAACAGGATGTCTCTCCTGCAGTTCGATGTACCCCTCCCCCATCTACATCTGACATAGCTATTCTTATAAATCCATGTGAATTTTTTCCAGTCATAATAAAATTAGTACTGAAAATTCATTTGTAAACATTGCTACATACCTCTGGAAAATAAACATTGGGGTCCAGAATGATTGATCCACTCTGGCTGAAAAAATGAGTTTTTAAAGTTGTGATCACTCTTAGAGGGTACTCACACTTTGTGATATGCATATTGCGAAATATCCCAGCAAGCCATATTGGTTCAGCCCTTGGATTGCCCCTCCTCTGATGTTGGCAGAAAAAAAATCTGTCATTCTAGTAAATATTTTAGATCATATTTGCATGTGTGTTCATTCCTCACATGCACAAATGTGTATGAAATTACAAAAGCAGTTACAAACGGCCTTGATGGAAAGTGGAGAGGGAAAAATACGAAGGTAATGTCATAATCGGCATACCTTACCTGCTATCTGAAACAATTGTATCTCTAATATTAAGTAGATCATCTCTGTTTAATGCTAGGGGTGCCATACATCCATTTTCACTGTACACTGGTGTTCCTTATTATGTCACCTGTGCAGAAAATCCTAGCCTGTATTGCTTTGCAGCAAGTAAAAGCTATACCCTTAATGTGAATGTGCTGAGTCTCCTTATGATGCTCAGAACTATCTCTGGGTCTACCTCGCCTAATTAAATCAGATGAAACACCATTGCAGCTGCACTGGTGAAATACAAACCCTTTTGCTAATAAAATGTGGAATACTCAAGGTTTTGTGGCTATCATGCCTATATGTTGGGGTGGGAACAATCTATATAGGTCAATAACAACAACAACAATTTGCCCTCAAGTTGATTCTGACTTACGGTGACTTTCTTGGTACAGAGCTCTGGGACTAGGTAGCTGGCCCAAAATGATATCAGCTGGTTGTTCTCCCAGGACGCACACAACTGAACTGAACTGAATTCCCAACCTCTGGATTTACAGCCAGGTACTTAACTCACTGAGCTATCCAAGTTAGGATATATCAAAATGAATACTGGTTCTCTTATTTTGTATTCCCTTTGCTTCCCAGGTTAGGAGATTGATACATCTTACTTTGGAAGACTGATCTAACCTCCCACCCCTTGTTTTTCCTTCTCTGGAACACAACCCAAAGTGGAAGCTGGCAGCTTTTTATTCTTTGAACAAGTTAAAGATAGGCATGATTAGAAAAGGACAAGGAGGCTTCCTAAGTGAAACTGAGGATGAAAAGGAATGGAGTTTTCCTGTAAAACTGAGATCTCCCTATGTAAGTCTAGTTATGTGAAGTTAGAAAGGATGAGCCTTCACAGGACAGTGTTGCACATAACAATTTATCTTCCATGGAGAGCACTGGAGGTAATCAGCACATTGGCCAAAATTTTATCTCTCAGCTGAAACCTCTCCCAGCAGAAGCCATGTTACCACTGAAATAAAGCCCATATTGTAACTTTGTTTTTCCCCCTAGGGAAGATCCTTATTATCCCTGTTCAGTTTCATTCTGGGTATTTTTCCAGTACAATGCTTGATCCTATCAAGATCTTTTTAATTGTTGCTTCTGTCTTCCAAGGGATTAGCTATTTCAACCAATTTTGTGCCATCCTTAAGTTTGATCAACATTCCCTGCACTCCCTCATCCAGTATGACAGCGGTCCCCAACCTTTTTGGGATTGAGGACCGGCTGAGCCTCTGGGGAAGGCGGGGGGGGCCCTGCAGGTGTGCACACATGCTCTTTCTTGGGTGCATGTATAAAGCAGTGGGGGAGCACCTGCCCACCCTGGCGTGAGGGCTCCCCCACCTCGCATGCGCAGGGGCACCCGCCGGCCCGCCCGCATGCATGACCACCCCTTCGTGTGGTCACTCGGGCACATGCATGAAGGGGTGGGGGAGCGTTCACACTGGCGCTGACATGTGCACATGTGCACAAAGCAGCTGTGGGGAAGGGAGTGGGGGGCAGGAGGTCTGTCTTCGCAGCCCAGTCTGGCTCAGGCCACGGACCGGCACTGGTCCGCGGTCCGGGGGTTGACGACTACTGCAGTATGGCATTGTGATTTCATTGTATGATACCACACATTCCAAGTTGGGGGGGAAATTAGCTATTGTGTCTAGAGAACACAAGAAGCAAATCAGGACAGTTTAGACTCTGGCAGCTTGGCCTATACCACTAATACCATAATAGAATGGCTCTCTGACCAGCAGGCCTTAGTGAAAATAATCTCTGTGCTTTTCTTTCTTTAATCAACAGGATTTCACACCAAAAACACATAAAGTTTCTTCTGTTACATTACATTA